CCCGTACCGGGGACCGGCAACGGGATCACAACCCTCAGTGTTGCACCCGCACCACACTCAGCCAGTGAGCAGGAACCGGTCACCACATGGGATCCGAACCCTCGGCGGGAGCGCCACCGCACTCCCAAGCGGCGCACTCTCCAGTGCACCACCGGGCCGGCCCAATATATTACCTTTTTAAAAATTTATTTATTGAATCAAAATTGATTATACATATTTTGTGGGTTGAACATTGAGATATGTTGATCGAATCAATATTACTAGCATATATATTGTTACAAATTATAATTATTCTTTATGCCCCTTGTCCAATCTCTCCCCATCCCCCTCTTCCTCCCTTCCCCCTCCTAATTACCCTAGATTTCTTCTCTCCTTCTGAAAAAATAATGGTTACTCTGTTAATTTGTTGCCTAGATGATCTGTCCAATGCTGAGAGATGTGATTAGGTCCCTCAATATTATCATAGAGGAGATGCTTCTTCTGTCACTGGGAAATGGGTTTTGTGGAAAGAGACATCCTCTTCTTTTCTTGTCTCTGCTGTTCACTCTTCTTGTGTGAATGCACTCCAGTGGTTGAAGGACCATCTGACCATCTGCGTGGTGGTTGTGGCATCTGGCCGCTTTTGCAGCAGCCATGGTTATTGTGGTGGCTGTGTTGGGCCACCCACACAGAGGGGCTGTTTTTGGTATGCTCCTTGGCACTGGTGGTATGCCTGGTTGTGGGGTGTGTTTGTTCCCCTTCTCCATGCCTCTCGTCCCTGGGCAGGCCCCAAGGCACTGGTGCCATGTGCCTAGTTGTGGGAGGGGTGGCCGGTCACCCTCTCCATGCCTCTGGTCACTGGGCAAGACCCAAGGAGCTGGCTTGGTGTGCCTGGTTGAGGGAGGGCGGTCTGGTCACCTTCTCCATGCCCCAGGTCTCTGGGCAGACCCCAAGGCACTGGCGCCATGTGCCTGGTTGTGGGAGGAGGGTCCAGTCCCCTTCTCCATGTCTCAGGTACCCAGGTGGGCCCCGAGGTACTGGTGTTTTGTGTCTGGTGTGGGAGGAGGGTCCAGTCCCCGGCTCCATACCTCAGGTCACTGGGCGGGACCTATGGCACTGGCTTGGTGTGCCTGGTTGTGGGAGAGAGGTCCGGTCTCCTTCTCCATGCCTTGTGTCCCTGGGCAGGCTCCGAGGTGCTGGCATGGTGTGCCTGGTTGTGGGAGGGTGGTCCAGTCCCCTTCTCCATGCCCCGGGTCTGTGGGCGGGCCCTGAGGTACGGGCGTGGTGTGCCTGGTTGTGGGAGAGAGATCCGGTCCCCTTCTCCATGCCCTGGGTCCCTGGGTGGGCTCTGAGGTGCTGGCATGGTGTGCCTGGTTGTGGGAAGGTGGTCCGGTCCCCTTCTCCATGTGTGGGCCCCGAGGTGCTGGCTTGGTATGCCTGGTTGTGAGAGGAGGGTCCAGTTCCTGGCTCCATGCCTTGGGTCACTGGGTGGGACCCAAGGCACTGGTTTGGTATGCCTGGTTGTGGGAGAGAGGTCCGGTCCCCTTCTCCATGCCCTGGGTCCCTGAGTGGGCTCCGAGGTGCTGGCATGTTGTGCCTGGTTGTGGGAGGGTGGTCCAGTCCCCGATTCCATACCCCAGGTCCTTGGGTGGGCCTCAAGGTGCTGGCTCAGTGTGCCTGGTTGTGGGTGGGTGGTCCAGTCCTCTTTTCCATGCCTCGGGTCCCCGGGTGGGCCCTGAAGTGCTGGTGCGGTGTGCGTGGTTGTGGGAGAGAGGTCTGTTCCCTTTCTCCTTGCCTTGGGTGCTGGGCAGGCCTCAAGGTGCTGGCATGGTGTGCCTGGTTGTGGGAGGAAGGTCCAGTCCCCTTCTCCATGCCTTGGGTCCCTGGGCTGGCCTCGAGGCACTGTTGCAGTTTGCCTGGAAGTGGGAGTGGGGTCTGGTCCCCGGATCCAAGCCTCCGGTTCCCAGGCAGGCCCCAAGGTGCTGGTGGTGTGCCTGGGCTGGAATTAATTTTTTGTCCTTTGCTTCTAACATGGGAAAACTTCCTGTGGGAACCAGTACTTGAGCTCTGTGGTTGTTTAAACTGCTATTTTGCTGCTGTTTCCCTAGGGAAGACTTTTTATGCAGCTCAGGGTTTAATGGTTGACTTTATAGGTACTTCCGGCTCTCCAGAGACTTGGTGGATCTGTGTTCTGTAGAATCTCTGATCTGGGCCTGAGTTTTTCCATCAAAGTGCACCCCATGCAATTCTGCATTCCTGACCAGTCTCCTCTGAGTGGTCCTGCACGGATTGGTGGGCAGGCCGGCTGTCCTTGCTGTGTCCCAGTGTTCTCCCGGTGTTCCCGTCTCCCCCACCGCCCGTGCTGCAAACACTTCTCATGGGACGGGCCATGTGCTGGTCCCTTGCGATGACTCACTGGCCTCTGAATGGCTCCCTTTTTTCAGGTTTTCTGGCTCCTCGCTCCTGCATCGGTCCATGGGAAACCTATTAGTGGTCTTGCTGTCCTGGGGGCCGCCAAGGCCCTCTTCTCTCCTGCCGCCTCCAAGTAACTCCATCTGAAGGGCACAGCTGCAGCTTCTGCCGGCTCCTGCTCCATGCGCTCATCAGCTGGAGCCTTAAAGCAGCCGCTGCTGGAAATGCTCAGAGCAGCTTTTTCTTTCTCTCATCGTAGTTTCTCCTGCCTTCATGAACTCCTTAGGTCTCTCCTGCTCTTCCCCTGAGCTCCAGGGGTGTCACATTGGCTGGTGTTACATTTTCATACTTGTAAATTTGGTTGCTTTGTGGGAGAGAGTGACGCTGGGAACCATCTATTCCACCATCTTGACTGGAACTAGTAATATGTTACTTATATTCTGTCTCTGTTACTAGAATATAAGATTAGAGAAGACACCTGCAGCCACATCAGTAAATAGATGTGAACAGGTGAATGAGTGAGTGAAAAGATTGGTAGCACATAGCAAAAGCTGGGGAGTCAGATCAGCACTGGGTTGGAACCTGAGGCCCATGTTATTAACTTCAGCAATGTACTATATTGCACAGAGCAAGCAACTTTTGGGCTGTGCCGGGAAAGAGAAGAGCAGTGGGGGGTCGCTTGAAGAAGAAAGATGTAGAGCCAGAGGGTGGTGAAGGGCATGGCATGTGTGCTGACAGCATAGCACGTGCATGGGGGCATTGCTGGGGATTGCTATGGAGAAGAGGTCATATTAATGCAGAAGCTTATAGTGCTCACTGTGTTCCAGGTGGTTGTAAGATCTCAACATGGGTTAATCCTTTTATTCTTCCCAACAGTCTTCTACTATAATGATAGTCTTAGCACTATCATCTCCATTTTACAGACAGTGATGCACAAAAAAGATCAAATACCTTGCCCAAAGTCATACAGCTGGGAAGAAACCAGGCAGGTTACGCTCCAAAGTCTGTGTCTCTAACCACTGTACAACACTGCCAGGTTGTGAAGGGCATATTTATTTATTAGTCAGGGAACCACATAAGCTGCTCTAAGAAATAGCACCCAAAATATAGTGACCTAAGACAGAAGTTAGGTTTTCTCTTGGGTGGCAGCCCAAAGGGACAAAGTCTAAGGTGGATAAGGTGGCTTTGTCCTTTCCACACATGGATCCAAGTTTGGGTCCAAGATGGTCACTTCTAGTTCTTACCATCTTCCAGCTGGTGGGAAGGGGAGAAGGGGCCAGGGGGGCTCAGCCACTTTCCTTTTAAGGGAGTGATTCTGAAGCACATACATCCCATTGGCCAGAACTCAGTCACACGGCTACACCAAGCTGCAAAGTAGGCTGGGATATGTGGTCTCTGACTAGGTGGTCGTGCTCTCCACTAAAACTCAAGAGTTCTATTATTAAAGGGAAGAATGGACAAATTCCCATAAAAATACAACACGGTGCTAGTAAAGAAGAGAAGGGTAATCTCCCTCAAATTATTTAAGGCTACTGTAT